CATCCCATAAATATAATTAACCAAATAACAAATTAATATTTGGTCAAAAATTATTGTTGCTGACCCGATAATTATTTATCGGGTTTTAAAGTGCTTGTTATTATTATTTTTATTATATTTATTATATTTATTATTTCTATCCTTATAAAAATAATTAAAATACTTTGTTTCAAATTTTAGATTAATAATGTTATAACAACTAAAGCCAAAACCACGAAAATAGTGTGTGCTCCATTGCATTTTCCTCCTTCCAATTTGTATTCTTCCATACACTCAGTGCATTCATCTGCATTTTTACAAGTTGCACAACCTTTAATTGTACATTTTGTGCACGAATTATTATTTAAATAATAACCAGCTTTGCATGAACAAGTTATTTTATCCTCTTTACACTTCAAACATCCAGGTGTTGGAGTATTACACTCGACTTCTGCTTTGCATTTATTTTCTTCAAGATAAAAACCAGATTTGCAGACTTTACAAGTATTAGCATCAGTACATTTTGCGCAATTATCAGAACAAGCATTGCATTTATTTTCTTTAAGATAAATCCCTCAAAACAGTCATAACACTTCTTAGAATCACTGCATTCAGAACAGCCATATTTACATGATGTACAAGCTTTATCATATAAATAATAGCCATTTTTACATTTGGTGCAGGTGTCAGCATCAGAACAGTTTAAACAGCCACCAGAACAATTATCACATTCATTATCTTTTAAATAATATTCTGCTTCACATTTTTCACATTCATTTCCATGTTGTGTTTTGCATGATAGGCATTTGTAAACAGGTGGATTACAATTATTCGAAAAAGCAGTAAACACTGTTAATGTTAAGAGAATTAAAGTTCTCATTGAATGATAACCAAGATTATAATACCTTTTTATACACAAAGTTGATTTTTTTATTTGTACGTTTTTAAACAAGTTGTCTATTTAATTTTCTGACAAATTTGATTTGCCGACCTCTCGTTTCATTTTATTATTAGTTACATAAAACAATGATAATAATTAACAAAAACATGTGTAAGTTTACAAATTGAATTAAAAAATAAAATATTTTTTAATATTACCACTTTTACATTATCACACATTTAAAAGGAGTAATATTTAAAACTATTATTTTAATACATCAACATTCAGATGGGCAACTTATTTGTCTAATTGAACCTATTAGCATTTCAATTCCCCAATTTTAAGTCACAATTTCCCCAAAATTTTATTCGGTTCCATCTCCAAATTCACAATTTGTCTCCTTTCTAATTATAAATCATACAACCCAAACAAAAAACTTATTATCTTAAATTTAAAAAATTATAAAATACATTTTACCAACAACGGTGGTTGGTTGTGGGTGTAAATTGTGTCAACTGTTTGTTTTGTTTGTTAATACAATAAATGTAAATGTTTTTAAATCTATAGAAATATAATGGTATTTGACACCACCAACTCCACAACATGTTTTTTATTAAAATATGCAAATTATTATTATAGTAAATTAAGTAGACATTTGTTTTCGTTCCTGATATCAAATAATGAATGTGTTGACACGGGGAAGCAAAAACGGTCGCATAGAGGTGTTCTTCCTTCAAAGTATTGAGGCAAATTCTTTACTCTGAAATTGGGGTGAGGTTCAGAAAGAACAGTCACAGTATAAACACTTTTTATCTGCAATTAGTGATTAAATTATTATTATAATTTTGTTCAACACAATTTTTCTAACTTTTGTTCATTGATTTTTTTGTAATAAAGTATCAATTGTATTATCAATCAAATCTATGTTTGGTAATATTTTTCTTGTGTTTCAAAGTGTGGGGTTTTAATTTTTTATTTTTTATCCACAACACTGTAATGCCTCGTTTTATTCAATAAAAAATGTGTCACGAACAAAAAAGTTATTATTTTTTATGGATATATTCCAAGTAATGTTTTATAAGAAATTTTTTAAAAAACTGATCTGAATAAATCTAATAAATATTTTGAGTATAATAAATTTTATTATTTAAAAGTGTAGACTAGGGTGTGCAATCGCAAGAGGAAAAAATCCTAAAGTGGTAGAGAGACTCTTTTGTGGTGATAACAAAAATGATATTGCTCAAATTTCTTATTTTTACTGAAAATGGTAAAAAAAACAGAATTCTTTTGTTTTCTGAAACATGTACACAATTAAATATTTTAAAAACAGAAATTTCTTTTTCGAACCGAAAATGCAAATTATTTAAGAGATAAAAAAGAAATAATGGTTTTGTCAAATTTGAACAATTGAAAGTAAAATATAAAGAACTTGAATATCTAAATCAATACTTAACTGTTTTTTTTCAAAAAACTAAAAAGTTTTAACAGACGACAAAAAACAATTAGTGTCAACTAAAAAACTAATTAAAAATTAAATAAAAACGTTTATTTAATTTAAATTTTTATCATTCCAAAAAAACAAAACTTGTATTTAAAAAATAAATAAAAAAACATGCAGGAATTCAACAAAGAATGTTCCTTTGTTTGGAAATATTTTGAAAAAGATTGTAAGAAGTGTTCCGAACATCGCAAATTTAACGCGAGATGTTTAAATTGTATGGGAAAAGTAATATGCAAATTTTGTCATAAATACCTCAATTTTCAAGGAACTACGTCCTCTATGAGAACCCACCTTTATTCCCTTCACCCCGAAAACATTGATGAGAATGACATAGACGATTTTGAAGTATTAAAATATTACTTTCCAAAAAGTGTCGAGCTCAACACACTTTTGTTAAAATTTTTCATGACTGGAAATATTTTTTTGCGACAGGTAAAAAAATTATTATTAATCGAGTTGATCAAGCTCCTTGACCCCAATGTGAAGCTGTGTGGAACCACCACATTTAGAACTTCATTGCTAAACAAAGTCTACAACGATAAAATGAAAAGTTTTATATCCGAAGTCAGAGAAAAAACTGAGGGTAACTATGGTTGTGTTTCTACGGATATAATGTCAATATTCGTAAAAGCTTCAATAAAACCACATTGCGTTATTGTGAAAGGCAGTTTGACCCCCCAAAACCATGTACTCAAAGTCAGTGTTTTCAGCGAAAAACACACTGCTGACAACATCAAGAAGAAAAAGCAAAAATGTGTTGGAGAAATTTGGGATCAAAAACAACATTTATTACATTGTGTCTAATGGGTGTCGGAATAACAATGGACTGTCGGATGTTTGTGGAGAGAAATTGAATTGTATTGTTCATGGGATTAACTTGGTATTTTCAGACTTGATCAAGAATATTCCAGAACTCAACAAAAAACTGAAGATGTTGAATAAGGTGTCGAAAACTTGTCAAGTATCACATTCAACACGCGTTTTGTTAAAGAAGAAGTGTGAAGAGAACGATGAGAAGTATTGTTTTCTTGCAACATTTTGCAAAACAAGGTTCAACTCTTGTTGTAAATCCCTTGAAACTGCACTTCAGATGGAGAAGTCTAAAAATGACACAAGTGGAACAAACCAGTTTACAAATGAAAATTGGGTGTAAATGAAGAAAATCTTTTTATTCGTCAAATTGATGAATGATGCATACAATACTCTCTGCACCAACTCCACTCCAAATTCATGTTTTGTATTAGGAATTATAACAAGGATATGGGAAATAATCAGAAAATACCCAACACAAAAGTGGAGTGAACATGATGATCGCCCCTCTACCCAACTATTTTGAATGATATCACCTATTGCGTTAACATCACAAAGAATCACATTACCTTACATTTCTCCAATACAACCAGTCAGCCACAATTTTCATCTATCAACCTCTCTTTCTGCTCTCAATTTCCAACCGAATTGCACCACAATTCCATCTCATTCTCAATTAACAGTCGGTTTACAACAACCCCAACGTGCACCGAACACATCACAATACTTTTCTTCCCTAAGTAGTGGACCATCCCACCAACACGAAACCAATAATACACAAGAGCTTCTCTTCGGAAAGGACTGGAAGAAAATTGCTCGTAATGGGTTTTCTAAGAGGGTTGGAAAGATTCTTGAGAGTGACCATTTTAATATTGCCTGTAATTTTATTTCCTCCTGAAAGAGACAAATATATGGACTTAAAAAATCAGGAACTAATTAAAGGGGTTGTTGAATCAAAGTTGGTTGGTTTAGATATCTCTTCCCCACCAAAAGGACACTTTCTTCACAGTTAACAGTAAATGAAAGTAATCAACGAGTAAGAGAGTTAGATGCCAAAGTTTCAGAAGTGACAAAAGAACTTATAGAATATATGGAAGACAAAGAAACAGCTGATGGTGAAAATGAATTGTACGAAAACCCCTTGACTTAATGGAAAACAGCACTTTCACCCACTTGAAAGAATTTTTTTTAAAAAAAAAGAATTTGTCTGCGCAATCTACAAGCATTGACTCTGAAAGAGTTTTCAGTGTTATGGGAAGTGTTTTTACTGATGAGAGAAACAGAACAAATCCCCACACCGCTTCAATAATCACCTTTTTGAAAATACAACTTGAAGCTTATTAATTATTTTTAATTTTTAATATGTTAGTATTTGAATTGATTACAAATGATTCAAATCATCGTTCAATTTATCAGAATATATTTATTCGTTTTCTGTTTTTAAGTTGAGACTTGCTAAAAAATTTCAACTTTAAAAACATGATGATACCTTTTATTTTCAAAGTTATTCCATTTTTTTTATTTTTTACCATCAAATTTTATATTTTTGTGGTAAGAGAATAAAGTTTTTTGGAGGTTTGTAAAAAAGATGAAGAATTCGGCATTTTTATTTTGGTGATGAAAATGTTTCTGAAATTAAAAACGCAAATAATAATAAAAACTGTTTTTTTCCTTTTTGTTGTTGATCTTTAATTTTTTGGTCGAAATGGCATATCTCAAAAAGGAACTACAAATTACATGAGATTTGCAGATTGCGATTATTGAAAAATAATGATTGTCTTATGCAAATAGATTTTAAATGTAAAAAAGTCGGCTGCTAAAAATAAAACAAAAAATATAAAAAATAATTATTTTAATAACGGTTTATGTTTTTAATAAAAATTCGAGATAATTACTTTAAATAATATTTTGGAAAAGAAAAAATCCATTTGAACTTAACAATTATTATAATAAGATTATTATGGTTAAAAAAGGAAAACCACAAAAAAATTAAAAAAATATGTATTTTTATTATAGATAGAGTATTTAATGGGTGCCAGAAATCTAATGTGTGCCAAGAAATTTGAGGATTGATTGATGTAAAAATACGGGTTTAAATTTTTTGTTTTTTATTTGTTTTTTTTTCTTGATAATAATTGATATGAAAATGGGTGCCAAACTCATTTCATGTCTTAAAATAATTCTGGCACCCAATAAGTTTCTGGCACCCCATAAATACTCGATCTGTATATTTCATTGTTTTTAAAAAGTGTATAAGATTCAAGACCTAAAAGTTATTTTACAAAAGTGTATGGAGAAGAACCTGTCTTCTTTTGTCAATATAGAAACCTGGTTAGAGATTTTAGAATGTGTTATGATTTAATGACTAATAAAGAAAATTCATACCCAATCAGATGTCCAGTAATTTTTTTTTCAAAAAGAAAAAGAAAAATGTGACGAAGAAATACTGTTTGAACCTTTCCCAATGGAATTAACAAAGCCTAAAACTGTTCCTCGAAACAATTGTCCTTATTAATTTACTATAATTTATAGCTAATTTATTTATGTTTTATTATTTTTAAATGGTTGAAAAATAGATTTTCGGTTTAAAAATATAAACTATTGTGAAGGAAAAAATTTTATCCATTTTAAAAACAAGTTTAATAAAATGAACTATAATTTATAATTATTAAATTATTATTATTATTATTATTATTATTATTATTATTATTATTCTTTGCTTTCAAAAAAATAACATATAACATTAAGTGTTAAGTCACTGTTTTTCATTGAGTAAAATTGTCTTTTGATATTTAAAGGCCACTCAGAGATGAAGACGTATGTATTTATCATGGTTGATCACACTAAAAACTCATCATTGTGGCGGATAGATGTTTTTTTTGTTTTTATACCTAAGCTTTGTTTTTTACAAAAAAGTTTAATTACACAAATAAGATTTAAACTATACAAATTTAGAAAATACAAGCCAAAAACAAACTAAATAAATTTATAAATACTTTTTTATTTCCTTTTTTCCTATTTCTATTTCAAAAAATACAAATTGAGTAATTATAATAAATTTATTATAAAATAACTACTGTCAAAAGTGTTTATTTGAAGTACAACAAATAGATAACTGGTTTGTACGACATTAAAAATATATTTTTGAATTTGAATTTTTATGAATTGCAAATAACTTTTATTACTAAAACAAACTATTTCCACATTTACTTTATGACAAATATACGCTTTTAATAATTTTAATGCTTTTAACTCATTTTCTTAATCAAATATTCCAGACAAAAATGTGTTAGAATTCGTGATACAATCATTTCATTGTATTTTAATTAATAAGTTGTGTTATTATAAAATATTATATATTTAACAATTTATAAAAATATTTCAATTACTTTCGTCAGGAATCTCTGGAGGTCTTTGTGATACAAGTTCTTTTTCGAACGACTGCTCTTGTTATTTCCTTTGATGGAAAGGGGTTGGCTTGATTGTAGGGTTGGTGAAGTTGGTTATTGTGGTGGTTGATGTGTATTGGTTGGAGTTTTTGTATTGTTTTTGTCGACAATATCTCTCCTAAAGTTGCTCTTTTATTCCCATGACCTGCCAAACAATTTGTACTTTCTTTTGGGTATATACTTGTACCATTTGGTGTTTTACTCAAACCGAATGTAATATTACCATAAATTGATCCTCCAATGAAAAAGTTCTGAGGATCTTTGTGGTAAGTTCTCTGTATCCTAGGCTTTCTTCATATTAGTTGGACTTGAATAGCCAGAAATAAACTGTGGTGATGCATTTTGTTTCAAGTTTAGAGTCAGCAAATTTATCAAAATTTCTCAAAATGTCAAATAATTTGTTTGTTACCCGAGTATTTGTTCGTTTCTATTTGGTTTTTCTTTTTATTTTATTATTATTGGACCAATTATACACTAAAAATGCATTAATAAATGACTGTGTGAAGACTACCATAAAATAGTTGTACACCCGTGATTCAAGTATTATACTTTTAAAAATGGAAATAAAAAACACAAACAAAAATTTATTAAACCATTGATGATAAAACGACAAAACTAAGAGTACAACCATTTATGCTATACGACACTTTTAATATTGTCTTTATATAAATATATTCATTTTCCATCAAAAATAATACATTATAGTCACTTTGTCTTATGCACAACTTTGCCTTATGCAAAACTTATATGTTAAATATGGAATTAAATAAACTATTATATTATTTAATTATTTCTTACCAAAAACACCATAAGATCTATTTCAGTTTTAATTTATTATAATTTTTTAACTTATATTTATAAATTAATATCTTGAATAAGGCAAAGTTTCACATAAGGCAGAGTGTCGATACTGTAGTATTTTTTAAAAAATTCACTTTTATTACTAAGGTTTCGACCAGTGTTATGGTTTCGACTAATAATTAATAATTTTTATACCATTTTAAAAACTAAATAAAAAAATATATTTAAACCATTATTTAATAATAAATAAAAAAACTTATTCAATATTATTCAAATGGTATTTTAATAGTAAGTCGAAACTATAGTATATGAATTTTTTGTATAAAATTAATTTAATAAAAGTAATTTTAATTTGGATACGAAAAAAAAATAAAATGATATTTATTTCACTTAAAAAACAATTGGATGACACGCCTTGAACCATTTTATTTACGAAACGTTGTCTTATATCTCCCAAAACTTTCAGACCTTATAAATTTTGTTTGTATTAACAAAAAGTCTTGTGATGTATCAGAGAGTTTGTATATCAATCCATTTAATCTTCCTCAAAGCATTCCAATTCAAAAGATTGTCACTTTATTTCCAAAATTGGAGACTTTGTACCTTCCTTATGAAGTTGACTATAATTTGTCTTTCTTAGAGAATTTGGGTACTTTCATCATTGAGTTACGACGAAATTACAAGACGCAAAAGTCTCAAGGCCCTTCAAAAAGTGTGACCTCACTTTTGTCGACAGAATGGTTTCCAAAACGTGTGAGGAAACTTCGCATCTTTGAAGAAGAAGTCCACACTTTTGCAGATAATATCAGCAAGTATGTGCAACTTAAAACCGTCACATTTGGGTTCAAAGGAAATGATTGTATGGAAGACTTCATGAAAATCATCACCCACAAAACTCTGAGAACTGTGACGTTTTCTACTGCTGCGTGTAATGCCAATTTAATTTCCGCCATCGATTTTTCAGATCTGTCCGACACACAATTTAATATTCAGTTCTTCGCTGCAGTCAACTCGGAGTTGTCCATTGAAGATGTCCAAAAGCTTTCAAAACTCTTTCCAAACGTCTGTGTATACATCTCTTATCTTTCTGACA